ATGAACAGGGCTTGTAATGGAAGTCAGCTCTCTACCTCAACATCACTGACTTTGAAAAGGCCTTCGGCAGAGTCGATAGGGAGGTAATTTAGCAACATCTTCGCCACTACGGGATGCGCCAACAATTACACATCTCATCCAACAGTAGTATGACAAAGGTGCACGCCAATTAATTCACAACAGGAAACTCACAGAATCCTTCGAAGCGAAAACGGGAATGAGAGAAGGCTGTCTACTATCTCCAATAATTTTCCTGATTGTGGGAGACAGACATAAAAGTGACCCACACAAAATACTTGGAGGTTTTAGATTTCGCCGATGATACATGTCTGGTTTCCCACAAACTGGAAGATATGCAAGTGAAAAGCAACAAGTTATCAATAGAAGCATCCAGAAAAGATAGGACTTCAGATGAACATAGAGAAAAGGGAGGTAGGTGATGAAGATTCCTGGCCAACAACAGCAACAACAACAGGCAACAATCAGCATAAATCGGAAGAATCTGAAAGGAGCAACCTGCTTTAACCACCTACGTACCTCAAAAGCATCGCTGCAACTACAGGAGGACGGAACTGATGAGGATATCAAAGCAGCAAGAATCGGGAAAGCAAGACAAGCTTTCATTTCTCTCAAGTTTGTGTGGAAGTCAACAGCACTCAGCACGAAAAATAAGATCCAGACTTTCAACGCCAATGTGAAGTTAGTGCTACTTACTATGCGGATCAGAGACTTTGGCGCCACGTCGCGAAGGAAATTTTGAACAAACTACAAACTTTCATCAATAGCTGTCTTCGCTCAATACTCAAGTTTAGATGGCTGGAAAAGATTAGCGACAAAGATCTGTGGGAGCGAGGCAACTCAGCAGAAAGCAATTGGGGAACAAATATGCAGAAGGTAATGGAGGTGGATTGGTCATACTTTGCGAAAACAAACCATCGAGTGACATCACACGCCAGGTCATTGCTTGAGTGGAACCCAAATGGGAAGCGGTGAGTTTGTCTTCAGTGCGAGGGTGACATGGAGGAGGTCACATGAAGAGGAGATAAAAGCAGGTGGCAGACATGGAGCCAAATGAAAAAGTTGGCAGAGAACCGAACGCAATGCGGCCCTATGTCCCACTAGCAACTAAAGGAAACAATCATATTAATGGAGGTTAAGAAGATAAATACGACTCAGTAACAAATACTAAAAAGTTCAGAAAATGTGAACACCGCAAATGAAAATGCTGAAAATACGTGAAAACCCAAGAAAAACAGTTAGATATTTTTTAATAGAAAGCTTGATTAAAGAATGCAACTAGAAATCCAGAGCATTTAAACAGCGATAAACACTGATATATCTAAAAGAAATAATCCACAACTCAGAGTAGACGAAAAACGGCATAAAATAGAATATAGAATAATAAAAACAACTGCAGACAAAAGTCAAATCATTTTGCCTTTCAAATAATAATACCTTCAGTAATTAATATTATGAAAATGGAAACCGTATAAAAAAGTAATCGATAGTACAAATAAATAAAGTAGCAGCAGCTGTGAATGACGTGATGAACAAAGTAATCTGATACTGATTGACAATCATTATATTCGTAATGTTTAATAAAGAAATGACAGTAACTGATTGGAAAGTTACTTCATTTGATTTTTGGGATAGTATTAGCCATTCATTGATTAATTCTCAATCATCAATTATGCATTACAGTATGAGCTTTACTGATAGATAAAATACTTAGCCTTAATCTAAAATAAACTATTTCTCCATTGTTAATCAAATACTTATTAATCATGAACATGTTAAAGTTTCACTACTGTACAATTGTTAAACTGTGAATTTTTATCATGCACATGGTCCGGGGTTCGATTCCCGGTCGACGCACATCTGATATCAATGGACGGCCTGCAAAATTTGGGGCACAGATAACACATGCTGAAAATTCCATACTTGTACCAAAATACAGAATGGAATCAAGCTATAATAAAATAAAAATAAATAAAGTTCACCTTGGACATCATCATCTTTACATAAAAGTAGAAATTTAAAAAAAATAACAAACAAGACAGCATTTAAAAATGGAAGGAAGGTTTTATAATATGGCGGAGAAAAAATCATTCGCCATTTTAAAAGAAGCTAGACAAATTAGTGATAACAAAAAGAAATATTTTCAATGTTCGCAGATTTATTATTCTAAGAGTAATTTCTACATGGGCATAAATCATTTTAAGAATCATTAACTTGTTGATTTTGCACTGTTATCAGTAGTTTGGATGAATTATGTTAAATTAAAAAAAATTAAAAGGTATGTCAAGATGAAAATGTGAACTTTTTAGATGATTTCTGTATTATATCTCAAGAACTCGAAACCAACAGTTTATTGGGAGAGGTAGCAAATTCAGGACTTTAAGTGAACATATAGAAGACAGAGGGGGTGAAAATACCCAACCCGACCAACAAGAAGTTTCTGCCATTGTCAATTAATGAGATGTAAAATAAATTACTTCTTCGACTTATCTACTTGATCAGCATGATCTCGATTATAGACGACATAGGTGAAAATGTTAGAGTCAGACAGGGTTGGATCAAGAGAGCAAGATAGGCGTTCATTACCCAGAAGACAGTATAGCGATCCACAGTCATCCCTCAGTGCAAAAAATGTGATCCGAACTTTCAAAACTAATGTAAAGTCAGTCAGTTCATCTTCCTATATGGTGAAGAGACTTGACCAGCGCGTCATCGAAAGCATTTTATTCAGGCGGATACCGACTTACATCAGTACCTGCCTGCTTTGCTTATCAGTAAATGTCAGATGGCCGGATTGGCAGCTAGCGAACAGGTCAACAACCTATTGCCCATCAAGTGTGCAGAAGTAAATGGAGATGGATTGCACAAATTCCAATTAGACCGTCAAAAAGTATCTTACGTCACGATTTCTAGTGGAAGCCGAGTGAGAAGCGATGAGTTAGGCGTGCGTGCGAGGGCAACATGGAAGAGATTATACGAAGAGTAAATGAGAGCTTAGGAGCAGTGGTAAAGTTAGCTAAAGAAAGACAAATGACAACCAAGTAGGATATAAATATGCTTCTGACGCGTTATGTTCTACTCAGAATCTTAGAGACGGAAAGTAATATTCAAGTTAAAGAAGATGTCTACACTCACGAAAATGAATTCATAGAATCCTGTCGTCAGTATTGCATCTTACTTCAAAGGATAAACCTGATTGTTACACTTCAAGTGAAGCTCTCAAAAGTTTGCTGCCAATAGAAATTTAATTTTTAGTGTATATAAGAATGACGCACATAGCAACATGGTCAATAAAACTATGTTGTGATAAAATTTTATGGACACCCAGTATGCAAGAATTATAGGCTTTTGTGATTATTTTTTCTACTGCTTATCAGAAAACCGCCTTATAAACATGTTTGACGTCACTTGTATTCCAGACTTGTTCATTAAAGTGTAGCGTTATTAAATCAGTTAGTGAACTGGGCTTGTTTGAATAATTCTACACTTGATCATACCAATAATGAGATTAATTATGATGTAACGATAGGAGGCAAGAGCTTTGATAACAAAATTATGCGCACCTTATCTAAAAATCCTCATTTGCACAAATCGTTCGTGTTGTGCTACCTATGCCTTTCTTATTATGTTTCTTTGTCTTCTTTTCATGTCTCTGATGTTTTGAAGCAACGCTGAATCATTTATCCTGTTTGACTGCGAATCTATCTCTCCACTATTTGATATTTTATGCTGATGAACCTCTATATATAAACTACTGGCAAATCTTATCAGTAGTAGACGCCAAAATGAAATTTCAAGAGTTAATAATCTTTCAGTATAAAAGTTCATATATAAAGTAAGAACTCTGTTAACTAGTACCTTTTTACAGTGTTCACTCTTATCTTTAAAGTCATAAGGGCAATTACATGCATAATTGTCTAATTTTGATACGTTTTGAAGTTAATCTAAGAAGCATTTAATTTTTTAAAATTCCGCATATGTAAAAAATGAAATCATTTTACTCAAGTGATAAGTGTACAAAGGAAAAGTGTATTTGCATTTATTAGGAGTGTATAACACAAAAATTCAGAAAGTTAACACAATACTAGTTCATATAAAAACTAAAAAAATAATGAACCCAGAGACAAAACAAAACTGAAGTCATAGCAGCGTTTGTACCAGTGATCTGAAGGCTTTTGACTTATCCTTTAACAGAATGAGGTTAACAATTCGATTTTTTTATCATTACTTCCGGGTTTTGTATTGTGCTGAAGTTGAAATTTCGCAACCGATTTAAGTTATAAATCATGTTTGTATAAATATCAATCTTCATTCAAGTATTGGTTCGTAGGGATTTTATTTCACTGGTTACAGGATTTCATCATGAGCTGAAATTGGGTAGACAACCGTTGGAAAGCCTGGAAGTACTGAACAGCTTTTTCGTCAGACTAGTTTAGGACTCTTCAGCAGTACGTACCCACCGCCATGGTTCAAACCCAGCACTTTCTGGTTACAAGGCGAGCTCATAGATTATTAAGCGACTGGGACCTTAACCAATGGCCCATAAATTCTTAAAACTTTTGACTAGAACCCCAGTTGACCACCTACCTGAGTAGGGCTAGTCACCAGTGAGCATCTTATCAATATCCAAGTATTGGATTGTAGGGATTTGATTGGTTGGTTAAAGGCAGAAGTTAGAATTCATGGCCATTGTATGGGGTTCCAGTCGCTTAATGATCTACGAGGTCGCCTTGTAACCAGAAAGTGCTGGGTTTTAACCATGGTGGTGGGTGCGTACTGCTGGAGATTCCTAAACTAGTCTGAGAAAGCAGCTATCGAGTACTTCCAGGCTTTCCAACGGTTGTCTACCCAATTTCAGCTCATGATGAAATCCTATAACCAAATATCAATCTACTGACTAAACTATTTCGTAATAGAATTCATTCAGTGACACAACTGGCGCTTGTTAATATCGCTAGCATAAAAAAAGCAGAGTCACTCACTTCAAACTCAAACTCAGCATGAGCATATGGTCCATCTTTGGGGCATATTTTCACATGGAATTGGAATTCATCTAAGCCACTGTTATTTCTACTGTCGTCATTATCAACATTATTATCCTCCCATGAGGTGATTGTGGCTTGTCCATCAGTTTCTCTTTCAATTCCACAAATCAATTCGGAGAATTGCCTCCATATCACTTTATACATTTTAATAATTATTATTATTATCACAGATTAGCATTTCCTTAGACTACTCATTTTTTCACTCTCTGTCAGGGTTCATACATATATATATATGCGCAGAAATTGATATTCTTATTGTATTAAATACTGATTCCTTTTATCACCATTATTCAATAGATCAACCAGTAATGAGTCAAATTTTTCTGTATTCAATCGTCAATGTTTGTTTAACTACATCATTATGTGTTTACTTTGTTTGTTGTTGTTCAAGGTGAAGAAGAAGAAACAATAACAATAGAAGACAAATTAGTTGGCAATTGATTTTTTTTTCTCTTTTCAACATTTCTTTTGTAAATTGTAGTAAAAGTTTTTTTTTGGTAAACTAGCAAATACATACATCTGTTTACGTATGTACATATTAGGTGAATAATTAATCAGAGGAATACATTATTCATATGAAGGTTACTAAAAAAACAAAATGAGAGATGTAAGCATTATACACTTATGCACATAACACTACTCTGTGGTTACAGTTTGTCATATCAACAACAAATTACGCAATGTTTTATATTATAGGTCTCGACTTCTCACTTGAACTCCAGGAAACTTCGTCATGTAGCAAGTCACTAGCAGGCAATAGATTAATTTTCTACAGTTGGCTTGTAAGGATTAGTCTTGTTCTTACGAGTTTCACCACACATTGATATCATTTAGAGAACCTTTGGAAACCAGCGAGTACTGGACAGCCATCTGTTTCGTCAACCTACTTTGGGAATCATTAGCAGTACGCGCCAATCAACAGGGTTCAAACCCAGGGCCTTCCGGTTACAAGGCGAGCTATTATACTGTCCAGCCACTGGGACCCGATTCAACTGCCATTCCATGAATTATAGCCCCTACCAATTCTTGATTTAGAGCGACCACCGACCAATGTCATCGGTGGGACATCCATCCTCACACTTGACTGGATGGATCTCACTGGTCACGACTTCTCACTAGAGCTCCAGGGAACTTCGTCCTGTAGCAAGTCACTAGTGAGCATCAGATTTATTTTCAATAGTTGCTTTGTAAGGTCTGTATAGGTTTAAGAGTTAAGGGGAAACACAAATAACTGTGTAGCGAATATAAGAACACAATGATAATGATAATTTACAAGGTTTATTTAGCATAACGTTCATCTAAGTTCTTTTTTACAATACTTGTATACGATTTTCTTTTCTTTTTTTGATTTGATTCATTTTCTAACTAGTAAGTAAATTAAAATTTTCACGTAATATGAATCAATACTAATTGGCATTATGTGAGATGAAGGAGAAGAAATCCCTGTGATCGTAATCAGACTCAATATAATATATGCCATTAGTTTCGTTCTTTTTCGTTCATTAGATCTATCGTAGATCACCAGGTGTTTTTATTGATTCGGTAAATTTGTATAAGGATGTAACAGTTACGTAAGTCTGATTAACTAAACAGTATATATATATATATATATGTAATATGGGTATGCCAAATCGGGTGAGATACAGAACAAACGTAGCAATGATACTGTTTATTCACACTTGAGATTTCTTGAGTTTCAAAGAAGTTTAGTACTAAATGACAGTGTATAGTGTAGAGGAGTTACTTGACATAGCGGCTATAATTGCTAATTTTATCAATAGACTTCAATCGAAACTAAGAATTTATGAGGTAAGTATGCTAGAGAATTCATTTATTTTGTTCCCTTTGAATTAAGGTGAAAAGGTAATTATAGGTAACAATACTATATTTAAGTCTTGTTATAATATGCTGTTCTAGATGGCATCTGCGGTATTCATTACTTTATTTTAATGCTGGTGAGTATGACATATCAAGGGGTGAAATCAACTGAAGGATTCTTGGAAATCAAGAAATGTTGTAAAGCTTTCTCACTTATGAAAACAGTAATGTTGAATTGTAAGACAACAGCTAGGAACTAGATGCTTCATTCCACTTAGTTGCAAAGCTCAATCGTCGATGAATGTTGAGAGTAAACAAAACACCTCAAAGAATATGTGAATGAAATGTGCTAATATTTTAATACACCGATAAGCATATTTATGTATCACTGATGGTTAAAGTGCTTTGACTCATCGAACATACACAAAAAGGTAGTATGAACGCTGATATGAAAGTGTGTAATTACTGTTTTTGAATTTGTTGCCCTAAATCAAACAAGTGTTTTTAATCCTTCACGTTCCCCAACGAAACATAAGGCTTCAAGCTAGTGACTTGAAGTTTCTTTAACAGTGTTTATATATGCCCAACCTTTCCTCTTTACCAGGACTTTTTCTGGCTTAACGAGGTAAAGGAGTGCGCCAGCCAGGAATCGAACGCCGGGCCATGTGCATGGTCGGCGAGCGTGCTAACCGCTATGCCACCAACGCACAAATCAAATAGGTGTTCACATGTGATATTCCTTATTTCACAGTTTGAAGCTTTAAAAATGGAACAGTATGTTATTCAGTGACATGATATCTGACATTATTATATTATAATTTCCATGGGTTCCTACTGAAACACAGGGCTTCGATAACACATCTTCATTTCGCTCTATTTTCTGCTGTCCTCTTCAGCTGGCTAGATAAACGACTAACCATAATTTCACATCGCCTCCTACTCCTTCTCGCCACACAGTCTCCTCCATGCCAACCCACACCGACCACTCACTCGTCGCTTCCCACTCGGGTTACACATGAGCGATATCTTGCACTGCGTGCAATGTCATTCGACGGTCTCCTCCATCTCCATTTTCTCCTACATATTCCCTGAGCAATAGGCTCTCGGTTGGTTTGTTCCCAGCCAGAGTTTCTTGTTTACCAATCTTTCTGGCCAGCCAGCTAGTGAAGTGAGCAGCTGTTCATAAATGTCTGCAGTGGCCTGTTGAAAATGCTTTTCGTGACAGACAGTGCAAATTTCTCACCCGTATACAAGAACTGGCTGACATCATATTTTTGTTGAAAAGAATCCGAATCTTGTTGCCTATGCTCACTGAGACAGTGCAGAAGATTTCCAAACTGGTTTCAGGTTGATAAAGGCGTATCTTGACTTTCCGATTCTGGCTAGTTTTGACATCATCATCCATGCCTTCCGCCTGTGGTTCAAACGATGCCGGCTATCTAGATAAGTGAAGGCAGGAAGTAACCTCTGTCAAGTCTCTTCCATTCGATTGCGATTGGTACTTCTATCTGTCTGTCTGCTTTCGACATAGAACTTTGCACAAATGTGCGGAAGTTCAAGTCGCCACACTCCGTGTAGCACGCGAAGCAAGAGAAGAAAGTACAAGAAAAGCATAATAGAAACAGTGAGCAGAGGTGTGAGACAAAGGAGTAATAAAGAAGAACAAAACAGTTTCATTGGAGATCATAAGTCACAAGGAGTGGATGCATCTGCGCCACTGAGAACGATTTTGAGCCATGTCACCAATTGTTTCCAACCATAGATTTTTACCGTCCCGAGGACCCCAGCCTGGAAGTCTACACCTTCCTACGTGGCTTAGACCAACTGTTGTGGATTTCATTGACTGATGCCAAGTTTTTGTTTGACCGCCGCTAGCTTTTTTCCAGCCTGACCCTATATCCGCTAACATTGCTCGTCGAGGGAGGCGATGGCTTGGCATACGTAACACATGTCCTAACCATCTCAGTCTTTGTAGCTTCACGACTTCGTCGATTGATTTCCCCTGTTTACCTAGAACTCTACGCCTAACCTCCATGTTGCTCACCTTATTATGCCACTTTACACGGGAAATAGAACGCAGGCACCTATGATCAAAGACAGCTAGTCTTTTCATGTCTTCCACTCTCAGTGGCCAGGTCTCACAACCATAAAGGAGGACGGAGCGGACTGATGAGCAGTACACCCGCCCTTTGGTCGATAGTCGAACATCTCGTCTACGCCAGAGTCGGCGTAAACTAACAAATGCGAAACGAGCCCCTTGTATTCGTGCTGAGATTTCGTCAGAGATCAGCCCGTTGGGGCTGATGGTACTTCCCAAATAAGTGAAGCGGTCAACGTGCTCTACCACTTCACTTCCTATTTTTAAACTAGGCGTCGATGTAGTCCAGTCCTGTAACATCATCTTGCATTTGGCGGGAGCGAATCGCATGCCAAACATTCGTAGATTGCGGCTCAAGGTGTTTAGAAGACTCTGCATTTCGTCAGCGTCTTCGCCTAGAAGGACTATATCGTCTGCATATTCCAAGTCAACGAGATTATTCCCGGTAGCAAGTCAATCCCTGAGTCGCTGAAGTCACCTAGGGTTAAGTCCATTAACACATCTATGATGAAGTTGAATAGAAAAGGAGATAATGGGCATCCTTGACGGACACCACTGGTCGTCATCAGTTCAGATGACAGCTCGCCGTAAGCCCTCACCTGGCTGTATGAGTACGAGTAGAGTGCCTTAATCAGTGCAATATATTTTCTCGGAATTCCCTTTACAGCCAAGCATCTCCAGAGAACTTCCCGATCGACAGAGTCGAATGCTGCCTTTAGGTCAAGAAATATAATGACTGTTGGACGCCGGTAGGAATGCCTATGTTCTAGAATCTGTCGGAGGGTGAAGATATGATCAATACACCCTCTTCCTGGTCTAAAGCCTGCCTGGCTCTCTCGTGTTTGTGCTTCCCGAGCACCACTCAGTCTACGCATGATTATTGAGCCTAAGACTTTAGATACTATATTAGTCAAGCTAATCCCTCTGTGATTATCACAGGAAGACTTGTCTCCCTTCTTGTATATGGGGATAATCAGTGACTTACACCAACCCGATGGGACTTCTTCTGATTCCCAGACGCTGCCTAGTACCTCAGTTAATCCGGACAGTAAGCTGTCTCCACCGTACTTAAATACCTCTGGAGTCATTCCATCAGGTCCCGCTGCTTTGCCTAGTTTCAGATTGGTGACAGCTTTAGTAACCTCAGTTAGTGACGGAGGACCTGTGTCTATATCCCATTCAGGGAGGTGTTGGATGCTCGGAAGGTTGAGCGTGGCTGTGGGCAAATTAAACTGCTCCTCATAATGCTCTTTCCAACGATCCAGTCGTCTATCCTGGGAGCTAATTATAGTGCCATTTTTTTCCGAGATTGTCTCACTAATGATTTGTCTTCTCCCACCCGTTTCCCTGATGAGTCCAAAGAGTTGCCTGGTGTTGCCTATCCTCGAAGCTTTCTCCATCTCTTTGGCTTTTGTCGCCCACCACTGTTCACGGTCCTTGCGGAGACTTTTCGTAAGTTTCCTCTTGTGCAGCTT